CACGACACGAGTGACTGATGTCAGTTTGCCCAGCATTCGCAGGATGATGATGTAGGGAAACTCCCTGCCCAGTCTGAATCGACGGACAAGCTGGAGTATGTCGTCCACCCTGTGAACAGATGGACGGGCCATCATGGTAGCAGAGTCCAGATGCATCCCAAGAAAGGTGGTTGTCTGAGATGGAACAAGACAACTCTTTGCCAAGTTGACTTTGAGGCCTAACAGTGACACATGAATTAGAAGCTGGGACGTATCCCGAGAGGCAGCTACCTGAGAGGGAGCACAAAGAAGCCAATCGTCCAGGTATGGCAGAATCCTGACTCCGGAGGCCTGTAGAGGAGAGAGGGCTGCTTTCACGCATCGAGTAAACACCCTCGGGGAAAGGGAGAGCCCGAATGGGAGCACCCGGAATTGCCAATGGCGCCCCCGATAGGCAAACCTGAGAAAACGGCGATGTTCTGCCGCAATAGGCACGTGAAAGTAGGCGTCTATCAGATCTACTGATGTAAACCAACCTCCCGCCACAATGGTCTGAAGGACCTCTGTTATGGTGAGCATGTGGAAGGGAAGGACCTTCAGGTACCGATTCAGTCCCCTTAGATCTAAAATGGGGCGAAAACCGCCGGTCTTCTTGGCCACAAGGAAGTATGTGGAGTAGTAGCCTCTGGGTTGCCGCAGAGGATCTACAGACTCGATTGCCCCCTTGCCCAGGAGGGCGGAAAGCTTCTGGTCTAGTGCCTGAGATTTCACCGGGTCTGTGATGACAGTCATCTTGACCCGGTGTGAGAGGGGGGGCCGCCTTCGGAACTGGAGCCTGTAGCCATTGGTTAAGGTGGCAACCACCCATGGATCTACGGCATGAGCAGCCCAGAAATTCAGCTGCTGATGGGAAAAATGTCAGACGGCTGGCCCGGTGGCATCATCTTCTATCCCCACGGCCCCTGGGGGCTCTGGGGGGAGGGCGTCCAGGATTTGAGGCCCGGGTCTGTCTAACAGGGCGGCAGACTGGCTCACGAAAGTCCCTCCTCGGTCTCTGCCGCACATCATGGGGATAGGAACCAATAGGTCTGCCACCAGTCTGAGGTCGTGGCTGAACGCTGGGGGTAGTGGCAGGGCGGCCCGAACGCTGGGGAAAGGCAGGTATGCTCCTGCGAAGGCCGGAAAGCTGCTGGCTAGTCTGACGTGCCTGAGCAGTCCGTTCCAGCGCCTCCAAGGCAGCTGATCCAAACAGCTCCCCTGGTACAACCGGGACACCCCTGAGGGTCCTACGGCATGCTTCAGTCAGAGGAGATTGTGCCAACCAGACCTGTCTACGAGCTTGGACAAGGAAAGACATGACTCGTCCAAGCTCTCTGGTCATCAACGCGAAGGCCTGCAGCGCTGCGTCACTATAACCAACCGCCTTACTTGCACCACCAGTGTCCTGAACAGATGCAGACAGGGCAAGCATGAGGTGCGCCAGAGAATTGCCAAGGCGGCCAGCACGCGCTCCTGCATTGTACGCCTTACAGAGGAGGTCATCTGTAACCCGACATTGAGTCCGCGGGCACCGGACATCAGGACGCAGGGCTTCATCTGGTGACACAATCAGTGAAGCAACAGCTGGTTCAATTGCTGGCATACGGTCCAGGCCGGCCTTCACCGACTCATGCATGGCAGCTAATACACGACCATCCGATGAGAGACGTGACAGCGCTCTCGGTTCCCGCCAACAGGCGTGTAACTCCTTCAAGTACTCCTCTGATGGAGGTACAGAAAAAGGAGTAGGAGCCCTTCCACGTCTGAAAAAGGCACTGCCGGAGCTGGATGCCTCTCCTTGTGCGAGTTCCAGCTGCAGCTGCTTCAGGGCCATGACCTCCCGCATGGAACCGTCACCGGCCTCTCCAACCGCACTCTGAGATGAAAATGAACCAGCCTCAGAGGCTTGAGAGGACCCTGCCTCCTCCTCATCTCTAAAATGAGAAGCGGAAGCAGCCAGAGAGATAACGTCATCCTCTACAACCAGCTCGGGCATTGGTGGGGAAGAGAGCCCAACCACTGGGAGCGAGGGATCAGATTGCCGTGTCTGCAACAAGGACTTCATCTCTGCCAGCTCTGCTGACAACTGCTCCACCCTTGTGGACAGGCCCTGGTCAGGTTTGGCCCGCTTCCTCCGGGGGAGGGGCACAGATGCTGTGGTCCCACCACGGCGCTTAGAACGCTTGGGGGGAACCACCTGCCCAGAGGGCGGAAGGTCCGAGCCCTCCTGGGGGCACAACTGGGCCAACCGGGCCACCCTCACTGCATGGGGCATAAAGCTGCAGTTCATACAGGGGTTCTCAGACAGCGCCTCCAAAAGGTGCTCATGTCCAAGGCAGGTAGGGCACAGGTCGTGGCCATCCTCTGCCTGCAGGGCAGCCCCACAATCCATGCAGCTGTGAGAGCCATCCATGTCGAAGGCCGACAAGGCTTAAAGAACAGAAAGTTATCGAAAATCGGGAGAGGGGGCGCAAACGCAGCCGTCACCAATTACAGCAGAGAAACGAAAGAGGCTGCGAGCACAAGGCAGCCGATACTGGGAGAGGGGGCGAGAACCGCTACAGTCACCAGGTATAAAACCAATAAACCAAAAAAGCTAACAACGTTAGCTGTATGGAAACTTAAGTTGGGAGTAGGAGCGAACAACGCTGCCGTCACCAATTAAGAGAGCAGACCAACGAAAAGGCTGCAAAAAAGGTTGATTTTGGGAGAGGGGGCGAAAACGCTGCCGTCACCATTCATAACTAAGCAGACCGATGAAGAAGGCTGCAAACAAACCAAAAAAGGCTAACAACGTTAGCCGTCTCCAACTTCGGCAAACGAAGTAGACCACACTTGGTTGGGAGAGGGGGCGAAAACCGCGGCCGTCAATAATTATAGCAGCGCAGACCGGTGAAAAAAAGGATGCAAAAGTAGGGAATATACTGGGAGAGGGGGCGAAAACCGCTGCCGTCACCAGGTATAACACCAACAAACTAAAGAAGCTAACTACGTTAGCCGTATATAACTTCGGCAGTGAAGTTATTCACACTGGGAGTAGGGGCGAAAACGCTGCCGTCACCAGTTCGAAACAAAACAGCACGAAGCTGTAGGTAAAAAGCTAAAGTCGTGAGCCGGGAGAGGGGGCGCGGACGCTACCATCACCAGCAAACAACTCACTTACCTTCCGTATTCCTCAGAATCGACCCGTTGCAGCCCTGGGAGGGCGGAGAATAACCGCAACTCCGGTCAAGATACAGGGGCTTCAGACAACGGGGAAGTTAGCGAACCGCTTGCGAGAAGAAAAAAGGAGCAGAGCAAAGGATGACACCAGGCTATATAGCTTCCGAGTGGTCATCCGGTGTCACAGGTGTGACTCTGTTGGTATAATTACTCGAACTGCGCATGCCCGAAGGGAACATTCAGTGCTTTCAGCACCGCCCTCTGGCGGTCAGTAGGGATGAAATAGAACTGAACTTAGATATTCTTTGAAAAAATTGCTAAAGCTTCCATGACAGCCATATATAATTAAACCATCTTCAAAAACATTAGTTGTTTCTTTATCGTAATTTGGTCACGATTAAGAGCCATTGTAGAAGGTCCAAAGAGCCACTTGTGGCTACGGAGCTACAGGTTACAGAGCTACAGGTTGCAGACCCCCTGATGTGGACTGTGTCCACTGTGTCCATCTAAAATATCAGAGAGCAGAATGTGGTAACCCTGGAGGAGATATAAAGATCCACAGTTCAGTGGGGAGAATTTGTCATTAAGCTAATCTGCCATTAATCCTGGAATTATAGACAGTGGCAAACATCATCCATTGCTGAAAGAAGGGAATGAAAAGATTTGTGTAGAAGTGTTTCTTTTGCAAATGGGCTCAAAATTTTGTCAATATTCTGCTAATGTCAACAACAAAAAAAGCCAATTAGTTTCCATTTAGTTAGAAATGCAGTTAAAATTACACATGAAGCTGTTTGTTCTCACCATCATCCTCCCGCCACCTCTACCTCTTTGTTGTTTTTTCTGTAAGTACCATCTGGTTGTTGATCACATCGCAAAAACTATTTCATTTTTGTAGGATACACACATTTTGATAAGATAAAAAAAAAAATTCTAGCACAAAAACGTGTATTTTTATCATCAAGATTGTTTATTTTGTAATAATAATTTGCACACTTACATGCTCAACGGAAAGATAGCTACAGAAATTTAGAAAAAATGCTCCGATCACATTAGAATAAACATCTGATCTTTTTGGTCGCCATGCATGTTTTTAAACTAAATATGCATATCACCGCGACTAGACCAGCCTCAGGGGGAAACACATCGGTGGCAGCATCATGCTGTGGGGACGCTTTATTTCAACAGGTAAAGAAAAGCCTGTGAGAGTTATTAAGGAGATGAGTTAAGGGAAATATTTCAAGAAAATAAGGTGGAGGCTCCAAATAACTTGGTATTGGATGTGGAGATTCACCCTACAGCCACAGCTGCAGTGGAACGGTTTGAAAACAAAAAACCTATTCGTGCAATAAAATGGCCTAGTCAAAGGCCAAACCTAGATCCGGTTCAAAGTCATTGGATATACATCTGTTCATTCACAGATTTATTCTTTATTATATACATTTAGTCTGACTTAGTTTTAGCTTTTTTACCCAGAAGAGGAAGGAAGACAATAAAGATGAGTCTAACTGAGCCCAGCGGAAGAACTAAACTTTTGATTCACAGGGTTTGGTACCAATGCACACCACAATTTTCAGATTTGGATAAAATTTTTCAAACATTAAAAAAACAATTTTCTTTCCTCTTAACTTTATAAAAGCCTAATGAGTCCATCGAAGTCTGGGGTTGTATACATAGCCAACTGCACAAAAAGTGAGGTTAGTGAATACATTAAAGCCATGTGATTATTTTCCTTTGAAACTATATATACTGCACCCTACCCCCCATTGGTGCTGTGTTTTAATGCTTTTTTGGGGGATTTTTTTTTTTTTTTTTGTCTGCAGCCATGTCATTTAGTGACGATGAGAAAGAGCAGCTGAGAAAATTCACAAACCGCTCCTACCTGCTGGACAAACCCTCTCGTTACCAAGCGTGGCTCAGCCTGGTCGACATCCTGCTGGCGTACTCCTATGAAGTGCGCTCCACGGAGGGGGAACACAACGTAAGTGGGGAGGGAACTCCTCCTGTGCGCTATTTAGTTTAGGAGGAAAAAGTTTACCATCCTAATATGGTTTTAGACCCCTGCTAGCTTCCATACTTTTAAATCAGTAAGAGAAAACGGTCAGCTCACACTGGGGTGGACTTCTGTGAAGTGCAAAGGCTGATTTCATAGTTGAATGCTCTTCACAGCGTGGTAGAAGTGTCTCATACAACAGAATGGGTTAAGCTTACACTATGAAATAGATGGTAGATTCACTACTATTTTAGGTGCCTCTCTTACTGTTCCACTCCTCCACCCCCAGGTCGAGTCTCAGTGGACCGTCAGAAAACTCAGCGGGACTCTGTGCTGGCTGGAGGTGAGTTTGCCTTAAAGATGCATTTTCTACGTTTTTATTTGACCATTTTACGACTAAATCATGGTTTGATGAAGAGACCAAATCCAATTCATTTATAAGCCTGTAGCTTAATTTGCTGAATTTACGTCATGTTATGTGGGTCAATTAAAGCCATCAATTGAAGCATTATACTCAAAATGAAATTTGTGGACACTCAGAAGCGACAGACACCCAGTTCAACTCAGAATCCAATGGCAACTCCATGTAAGGAGTGAAAAGTAAAAGAAGGAAAGAAACCTGGTGGCGGTATCATTAGAAAACTCTGGCATGCCTCTTGAAGAAGAAAATATATTTCAGGGAATATCAAGCTTTTAAAATGACATTTAATATGAGCTGATTGATAAAAGGAGATGTTCCAGTTAATACATTATTACATGCTTGAATTGAATTCTGTTTTTATTGATGTGATGAAACAAGGCGGTGCGGTTTCATCTGGTTTTGATCTCAGAGAACAAGAAGGTAAACATTATTTGAGGAAACCACAAATCACTTCATTTGAAAAGAGTTAACACTGCCTCAAGTGAGATTTTAATCTTTTTTTTTTTTTAAACAAAAGAAGATACAAAAGACTCCCCTCCCATCAACCTTTTAATGCATCTCTTTGAAACATGGATTGGAAATAATATAGAGGACCTATCTGTCTTCTTTGTGTCCAAATTAGAGATGAACCAGATTAAGGATCTGTGCTGCTGATTTTCGAATGCGCTATTGCTTCTTCTTCCCCTATTTACATGATAAAAATGACACGATGGTAAGAAATGCTGCACAAGTCTCAGCTTCAACAAAAAAAGATTCATCAATCAACCAAAGCGTTAACAATGATGGCCTCGTGTGATCTTGAGGCTGCTGATTGCACTAATGAATCAGATGCACGTATCTGCAGATGTATGGGTCTGTCTCTAAGCTCCCAGTTTGTGGCATTATTGCTGTAGTTTAGATGTGGGGGGCTAAGTCACATGTTCTCTAGAGTTGCACATCTGCTATGCTTCCCCCCTAGCAGACAGCTATGAATCAAACTCAAACCCCAGCTGACACATACCAGTCGGTTAATGAAGCTGCCGCTGCTCCTGCGTCTGCAGAAGCACATCGGCGCACTGCGAGGATCTGGTGTTTGTTGCCTCCACTGTTGTTGTCGCCCACAGTTTCGTTCATGTTCCCCGACGTTTGCCGAGACAGATTGATGTAGCTTATCTTTCATTAATGCCGGGGAGGCATATCGGTGAAAAAAGCCTCCCAGGACACATTTGAATATTTTAATAGGTGTTAGACATGCCTCCATGATCAGGTTAGGGGTTCCTGGAGGAAGCGCTGACTGCAGACTGAGAGCGGGAAGTTTTCCTGTTCTGACGGCAGCGAAGAAGGAAGCGTTCTTCACCTGCCTGGCAGCCCCTTTAATGCTCGTCAGACAGTCGGCAGGGCTGTCAGCTCCCATCATCGTAGCACCTTCCTCCCCCAGCTCTACTTTCCTCTCATTCCATAATCTCTACAACAGCGAGCTCCGTTTTTGATTGGCAGTCTGTCTGCATGTCAATGCTGATACCAGCAATGTTTTCTTGCTCTGTCCTCCCCTTAACTGTTTTTTTTTTTGTCTCAGTTGCTGCCTCACGCTTCTTCTTCCCAAACTCTCCCCCTAAGCTTCTATAGAGCTCCTTCTAAATACTTCATGTTTACTCATCCTCAGTTGAGTGAGCCGGTGTTCCCAAGTCCCGCAGCGTGCAGCAGCAGAGCTTATTTACACTTCTGCTAAATAAGCCCCTGGGAAGGTACGATCCCCATGTCATGCGTTCCCAAGCTAGCGGCACATGCTTAACAAGTGCAGGAGGAGTGAACAGAACGCTGTGATAGATGCGTGTTTCTTTCTTTCGGCTGTGCATCCTTCAAAGCTGCGAACGCCAGAGAGTGATGTCAGTGATTAAAGAGAGGCAGCGATTAACCGGCCAGGAGCTGCAGAGGTGTTTAAAAGCTGCCAGCCCTCATTTGGTTAGCTGTAGTCGTTAGGAGTAATTAGAGCTCCGTCACCTTTGTACCAATGGGAGGTAGTATTTAACCTAAGGAACATAAAAACACACAGAAATGGGCCCTTAAGTCAAGTGATATCATCAATTTCTTTCCCAGTCATTTTAACACTTGAGCTGATCTAAATTTTTTATAAATTTTTTGTTGTAAATCTTTAACCTTCTGATTCAGATTTCTTGTTTAAAGCTGCAAATAATGCTTTGATAAAAAGCTTTGAAAGTTCCTAGCATCTTAAAGGTGCATAGCCTCGTCACTCACCTTTTCAAATGTGCATGCTAGTAGCTCAAGCAATGGAGGTGAGCAAGTGGGGAACTCCCAGCACAGCTGTTAAATTAAAGAAGAAACTGAGATCTAGTATAAATAAACAATTTTTTTTTATTTCAAAACGAATGAGACTCAAGTAGTGCTTAGAATACAGTAGGAATGTTGGTGCTCACTGAGGCGGGAGCTAAAGCTATGGAGGCATTCAGCTGTTGCTGTGAAGTGACTGATGCATGACTAAACATCCTCATTGGTATTTCTACTAGTGACAGTAATGCTATTCTTAGTCTCTACAGTCCTAGTGAAAATGACATTTTACACTGATTGATTGAATTGTTTTCTGTCACAGCGGCTTGTATGGGGAAGAATATTGGAGATTAAATCCAGTTCAGGTCAACAGGAAGAAGCATGTTTATCTGTTGATTAGCGATCATTCCAATGAAAAGGTTTTAGCCTAAGACTTTTTTATCGATTTAATTGAAATGCTTCATACCTTGATGCTTTGTCTCTGTTTCATGTTCGGTGGCAACAGGAATTTCCCCCCCTTGATTTTCTGTTTGGAAGCGCTGGAGAGGAGTTTCTAGAAATTGGAGTTACTGTAGGTGGGTTTGGTCTTCAGCCACGCCAAGTTGATGCTTTACTCCTAGGCATTGTGGGAGGATTTGGGTCTGTTAAGTTGCTGCATCAGTTGTAGCTTTGTGGTCATTCCACGGTACTACCAGCAGACGGCGCTCACTTCTTTTTATGTCTGCTCATGTACCTGTAGCAGGAATTCTATTTAGGCTCAAAAAGGACTAACTAAACACAATCAGGACGGACGTTTGGTGTATTTTACCTCATTTTATCATTATTGAATACTTTCTGGTCTTTTTTGCATAGGCTTATAATGTGACTATGCCACTTTAAATTAACAGTTAGCATTGCTGGCTTTGACAAAGAGTTCTCTGTGAGTGCGTTACCACCTAGAACCTCCTTGCACCAACAGTAAATCTGACCCCTCACCTATAGCAGCGCTTGATACTTTGGAGCAGTTTTCATGTATTTCTTTAAACTGGATCATCCTGCAGTGGACAATAGTGGACTGCAAATACAGTTTACTTGTTCTTTTCAGTCAACATACCTTATTAGGTAGGTTATGTATCTGAAACCAAGACACAACTTAACTTGGTTAGGGTTAGGGTTATTTTGATCTTTCAATTAGTTTTAATTTTGCAACACATGCTGTTAGTCTGTTCAGCTCCCGCTGACTTTAAAGCTGGCGGAAGGCGTGAGTGACTTTGCAAACTGTTTGGCACTGTGTGGCCAAACATCAGACGAATGGAGGATCATGCCTACTCTGTATCACAACGAAAAGCGGCGGACACCGAACCCCCGTCATCTAAGAAGCGGAAACACAACGAGAATAAACGCAAGCGTGACAAGAAACGGCAAAAAACACGGATCAACATTGGCACGGCATTTACACGATGGAAGTCACTGATGGAGGAAAAAGGTTTTCAAAGTGACGCTCAAGTTGCCAGTTTTCTCTTGGACAGGTAATTAATCCTACACACACAATTGTCTAATATCACTGCAGTTTTTGGAGTACAGGATGCTCAGACCTGTCTAAAACAATAACATGCTGCGTGATGATGCTGTTACTTCCAGTATACTTATTCAGCAACGTCCCTGACGTTTCACAGGTAATGATTCAGTAATTTTCTGTAAAATAATTTTCTGGATATATACCTCGGTTACTTCTCTCCGGCTCCTTTGGAGATCTTCAAGCCTTTCCTCCTCTGCTCTCACCCCGCTGGCTCCCCTCTCTCGCCTGGCCCTAGCTGCACGCCCACTCCGGACTCTCTGCCCTCTTCCTCGCCCTCTTCCTCTCCCTCTTCCTCGCCTTGTAACCCCCGTGCCACAAACAAGACTTGGACTCTGTAAACGGGGAATATATATTCTTCCAGCGAACACAATCTCGCTGTTAAACTAATGACTACAATTCCTTCATCTGTTTATATCACCATGCAAAGCAGCTCACCAAAACGTCACAACGATGTAGAAAAAATAACGGGTATATTTATTATCTAAAGTCTAAATGAAATCTATACCCTACACAGACTAATGAAATACTATCTGTAAAATTATCTATGTAAACAAACCTCATCACTTGAGAAGGTAGGTGATGAGGACGTTGTGGAAGACATTTTGTCCCGTAACGCTCGCCGTACTGTTGGGGGGGAGAAGCGGTGGGGGGGAGACGTTCATGTTGCTGCGGTCTGCAGTCTGGACGTTGGATGTCGCTGAAAATTACACACTGTAGCTTTAATGTAAAGTCTTGATCTCTCTTGCTATTTCACAGCCTAAATGAACCATTGATATGCATGCACCTGTGGCAGATGTTAGTGTTTAATTTTGAGGAATCTTCTCTGCGTTGTTTGATTTCATCTTCTTTTTGTTTGCTTGTTTGTTTGTCCTTTTTTTTACTGTATTAGCAGTGAAGCCTTTATTTTATTTTTTTGCATTTTTTTTATTCTATTTTTTTTTATTCATTTCAAACAAATCACAGGTTAACTTTTTCTCTAGTTTACTTATGAAACCAATTAGGATCAATCAAACTAGTGGATATCCAAGTCCAGTTATCAGCCTATATCTTGCACTTATTTAGGTTTTTAAGTTGATGATATTTCTCAAAGACATGCCCTGTCTCCTGCAGACCTACAGCTGCTTGCTTGATGTCCTGGTGTCCTTCGGACGGAGGGTCTTGTGCTACCCACTCTACCGACACTTTGCTTTGGTGAATTCGGCTATTTGTGACACGGTTAAAATTTTACAAACAGGTGAGTCACTGAAAAGCAACACACAACATAAGAGCTGGAGGAAGATCAGTAATTTACTAATTAAACCTTTTCAGTTTAACATGGCTTCAAGAGTTTCTTGTATAAAAAAGAGAAAATGGAAGAACAATAATATACAATTATATAGAAATAGATCTAATGATTTTGGGGGGCGCGTAAACTGGAAATAACAATAAGTAGAATCTGCAAGGCTCAGATTGGATTTTCCCTACTACTGCCTTGCACATGCAAAAGCTGTCTTCCGATTTCTTCCAATGTTTAACATCTGCACTAATAGTAATAAACGAGGGGCTACAAAGGGAAAGAATTTATTTGTAGTTGCCATGTATCTCATTTGCTCACTAAGTGGGAAATCGCTGGATCAATAGTTTGTGAGGCTTAGAAATGGCTTTTCTCACAGAAACTCGCGGGTCAGACTGTTTCCTCTTTGGGACTCGAGTCGGCTCTGCACTGAGCGTCAGTGAATTAAGCTCCGCTCTCTCACCCACAATTCTCTACTCTGAGCCCTGATCCAGCTAGCATGACGTGCAAACGTAGAGGGAACATGTAGACAAGGAGTTTGTTTTTTCTGAATATCTAATTTCCATTGTAGATATAAACATATTTATGATAGCGGTTATCTGATTGCTGATTTTATTGGATTCCTACTGAACTTACCTATAGTTACTCTATAACTGCAGCAGCTCTGAAAACGCTCCTGGCCAGAGCATATGCTTAACCTTCTCAAATCCCCCCACTATCCTCTGCAGGGCCCTTCCCTCTAGCACATTGAAGCTGATTTAACTTTTATTTTTCTTCCTGTTTTTTTTTTTTTATAAAGGGGTAAAAAAGGGGTTTTTCTCTCCCTCTCTATACGCAGGCTTCTGCTAATTCTAGTCATCCTGTTTTCCCCTAAGCCGTGTTTTCATATGTAAATTGCTTTACCTGTGCGCACACAGACGGTATCAGGCTCTGAGCCTAGAAATGATGGGATGTGGTTTAGATGTGAGAGCATGCACCTGGAAAGGCAGCCTGACAGCTGATACACACTTTTTGTGTTTTCGAGGAAAAACAGCCTGACAGCTGGAAACGGTGTCATAAAGAAAGTGCTGCTTAGGAATAATGCAGCAAGTGTTTAAAGATAACATTTAAGAAGGAGGTGCGGGCATGCTTTTACACCTCAGGGAGGGATACCTTAATATCTCTAATCTTTAAAGCGAAGCCCCCGCAGACAGCAGAGAGCCAGCAATGTAAACATACTCAGCATGTGTAAAGACTTAGATCACCCTGCTTCTGACAACTATAACTAAAGAAAATAACAGCAAATTAAAGGCCTTTGAAGCCCCTGATTAGTCCTCGCCTCATTGAGTTGGAAGATTAGTGTGTGAAAGGAGTGTGAAAGTGTGACAGTTTGTCACTCTCTCACCCGAACAGCTTTCTTTAATCTTTGAACAACTCTGTCTGCTTTAACCTGGGTTGCGTTTAGCTCACAAAACCTGCTGCTGGAAGTCAGCTGTTTCTAAATGCTGGATCATACTGGTTGCATACGACTTTTTAATCTCCGATCCGCTTTTTTTCCATATTACACTGACTGCATATATAGGTTGCGACCAGAATCCATGAAATTGCCGCCGAATAACTGCGTTGAAACAAACATGCGGTCTATTTCAGTCGGAGCTACACAACCTCGTCCGACACAATTTTCTGTTGGATCAGACGCAAAATCGCATTCGGTGTGTTCTGGTCTTTAGGCGTGATGCTCTGTCCTGGGGTCCTGGAATGAAAAAAGGGACAAACATGGAAAAATACCACCTGACTTCATTTATTTCCATTGTTTAATATGTCTGAACATTCATCCATCTATCTGTTCTGTCTTTAAATGGGAACCAAATGAATGAACCAAATTAAACAAAACTCCGATAATTGGAGTAAATTTCTACCGTTGATGTTTTAAATGTACAGGATCCCAGTTAGTCGTTCTTATTTCTACCCCTTGTTAAATCTAACACTCTGCCAATGTGAGTCATGTTGTTTCTCCCTAATGAACTGTAACAGCGCAGTAATTTGGCCTGGCTTGTGTCGGGATGTTTCCTTCCAGTATTACTCAACATCCTCATTATTTTGTTATAATGAGGGAAATTTTATTGCATGTTCCAGTTTTAAGTTGCTCCATTGGAGTAGCTATAAAACTAACATTCATAGGTATCAGCTAAACAAACCCATTAAGAGTGGTACATAGGTTAGGGCTTTAAAGGAAACGTTATCCGGTGGTAAATATTTAAGCAGCCCTCCAGCACTGTGGCAGATATCCGTCACAGGGTCCTCCACCTGCAGCCAGAGTGTAACTGAGGAGCCACCAGGCATGCAGGGAGGGGACGGGAAGTGTGGAGGGCAGCATACGGGTCATGGTGCTGTCATCCTCTTACTGACATGACAGAAAAAGTAAATGTCACCTGAAGCTGCATCCAGCTGGCATACGGCCTAGTTCAATCACCTTCCAGATATTTTCCAGAAGCTGCTGTTGTTCCCTGAATACTGAGAAGAATAACAACCAGGAGACATTTGATAAGAGAGAAGTTAAGAGATTTCTGACCTACTTCTGTAAAACCCAGTAAAGACTCAAATGATTTACATCCAGATCTATATGTTTGGCAACACACAGATTTCCATTTCTGTAATGTGACTTAAGGGTGAAAAATCCCATCACAGATTAAATGTTTCAGTACATAAGAGCTGATACAGTGGGTAGGTGGGTCTCGCTTTAACATAGGAAATGGAGTATTAAGAAACCCTCTCTTAATGTTTCTTGTTTAGAATAAACTGTTTTAATCACTGAAGCTCTAACAAAATATGGAAGGTTTCATGTTGACCAAACTAAAGATTTTTCAACGCAAAGTTGGAGACTAAACAAACTGTTGAGCCCACAAACTGGATCCGCATTGTCTGGAGCGTTCAAAGTCGTGCTTTCCTCAAATGTAACGTGATTTTTCAGAACATCACTAAATCCATAAACGCAACAAATAGTTTGTGGAAGAACATGCTCTGACTAAAAGAGGTTTTCTGGTTTGCATAAAAAAATGGTGTGTGATGCAAATTACCAGCGGTCATTCAAAATGGCTTCTGTGTGTAGAAGCGTATGGCAGAAGCAGCGTCATGCAATGGGGATGCTTTTCCCAACAGGGACAGAGTTGTCTTTCTGCAACCTGTGACTTGCTATCAGTCTGTGCATTGCCACATAGTATGGTGGATTGTCAGGTAGCAAGGATAGTCAGAACATCGGCCCCACAGAGGCTTCTCCTTAATGAGGCTTGAGCCACCCAGCGAATGGGCTCAAAAGCATAAGCACTGGGATTTAGACACTTTAGTCCCTTTAGCTTTATCTTCCATCATACCGAATTTCCTAAGTATTGTACGGTTGTGGAGTATCCCTGGTTTTTCTAATGTATTCAACTGGTAGCTGAAGCATCGCATAACCCCATAACATCACAGCTTAGAGTGCTGCAACATGGCGGCGCCTTTCCCAAAAAATTGTGAAACAATGCTAATGTAATCTAATTATTAATAATAGACAACATTTCATAAATTGAGATAGTTTGATTCCACTTTAAGCCAGAATCGGCATATAGCAAAATTACAGAGTTTAACCTTTCCTCTAGTTTTCCACAAGTGGAGAATGTGATACGTCTTACCAAAAAAAAAGCCAAATCTTGCAAGCAGATGTTCTTTTACCACATATGATCTAATTTCTTCTCAGGGCAGACCCCCTCTCCCTGTATAACCCCATGTATGAAATAAGAACCAATTGTTAGTTTAAGCTTTTCCTTGCTGTTTGTTTGTTGTTTATTTGGCTTGGTCTGGAATGCCCCCAGACAACCAGCTCAGACGTATCTCTTTCCGTCTGTGAGATGTTGGCCAATCATGAGGTTATTTATGGTTGATAGGAGGGAGGCTGTAGTAGTTTGGCTTGTCATATAACTTAAAAGTAGGAAATGACAAATGTTGAAAAAGTTGAGGCCAATTCTTTGTGGTTCTGCAAACGTGAAGCATCTGTGGTAGCACAATTTCTAAACCCACATATAATATGCAGGTGTAGATTGTGTTACCTTTGCAAAGACTTAGTCTCTACATTTAATACAAGATTATCTATTTCCCTTCCTTTGAAAACTTCTGTAAAACCTCTGAAATTAACTAAAAAACTAACCTGTTCCGGTGAAGGCACCTGTTTAAAGGCTTCTTTCTAGTAACTCCACATTAACCACAAAACGTGGTGAGTTCTGGTTATATATGCTGCTCAGAATAATTAAAGGGCTGCTATTGGAAGCCACACTGTTAAACTTTTGGCCACTAGGGACACTAAACCTGCAACTTTGAGGTTTTTATCCCCTTGAAAGTGCCTTTGAGCTTTCTTTTCTCAGTTCTTACCTCTGACAAAAACATATTTATTGCGCTTGATCTATACCAGCTAGAAACTCCGGACACCTGTTGTTGGTCTGCTGACCATAAATATGTCACCTGCAACCAAACTGAGCCACATGTCCTCGTTTTACATGGCCAACCTTTTTAAAAAAGGGCAGCCTAACTAGGTCTACGCAGCTTGGAAAACGGCTTTTAAGTTTGTGCACATTACTTTGTTGACCTAGAAATCACTTTTTTGGGTTTCCCCATTAATTGACAGTCATGGTTTGTAAGAGACTGCTGCAGGTCCTGCTCTGTCTGTGTCCTGTGACCTGAACAGATGTGTGGGGTAGAGATGTACAAAGAGCAGCTGAGACACCAATCATTAAATGTATATAGGTCTAAAACAAACTGTGACGTATATGAAGTAGGACATCCAGTTGATCAGGTTTGTCAACAGCTGTTTCTCTAGAACTGACAAACCAAATGATCCAGGAATGATGCGATAGAGCAGGTTCTCCTCCAGTGTATCCTGATCGGATTCTACCTCTGCAAGAAGTTCAGTCATCAAATTGTATTATACTAAACAGTCAACTGTTTGGTTTATTCAACGAAGTGGAAGAGATTAGGAATGTAGACTAGATTAAGAGAGACACAGACTCCTATTGGCTGCTTTCTTTATTCACCCCTGAACTTGCATACAGATTTAGTAGAGTTTGCCTGACCTACCTTTGTCTTAGTAGAAAATTTCAATTTCTATGTGTGAAAGTATTCTCTTAAGGCGTAGTAGAACAGCAGAAAACCAATAGGTCCAACAGTTTGCAGTTGTATTTTAGGTTGTAGGCAGTAAAGGTTTTGCATGTAGGTGGCAGTGCATTCATCTAAGAATAAATTGTTCTTCTCGATATCCTGCTAGATTGATGAGTTGATTAAAGAGTGAAAATCTCCCAAAGAAATTTAAATGCCTTATGGAAAACAAAGAAATGCAAGTGGAAAGCAATTACTTCAAAGAAACGCAGAATAACGAGTCTTGTCAGTGAGGAGTGGCAGCAAGATCAAGGATCAAAGAAAATGCCCTATTAGCAAGCTGATGACACGCTGTGATTAAATCTGACTGACTTTTTTTCTCGTCTCAGTACTATATGCACCTCTAAAGGATTCAGTTTAGGATTTTTGAGTAAAATTGCTGGACAATAAACCCACATTCATTGATGATATTGTGGCTTTTTCATTTCAAAATACCCACTCCTCTCCATGTGAGCTTAAGCATCTTAGACATTAAAGATATAGATTAGAGGGCAGGAATTAAGTCCAGCTTAAGTCCATCCAACCACACAAATAAACCATTAATGTCCAGGGCATTAATAGAAGATTGTTTTGTCTAATGTTCCTTTGTGATTACAATATAATTATGTTTCATCTGCTTTTTTTTTTTACCTTCTCTCCAGCTCTTTAAACAGACCCAAAAGCTCATCTTAAACACCACAGAAAGTTCTAGTTACTAGGCTAAAACACTCTAGTACTTATTCTCCCATGTCTCTAATGAGTCACTTCTTGAAACATGTGGCTCAAATTACCCTGCAGCATGCTGAGATTTCCTTCTCATCTCATACCTTGGCTTTTATGCATGGAACAATGGCTGTGAGCCTTAAGATGAATGTTCTGTCTGCCAGGAGCTGCATCTTGTTGTCATCCTCTGTACTGAGTTTAAATAACACTTTTTTCCATTTGCCTGCCATGCTGTGTTCCTGTGCCTAGGGAAAGCCTGCGTCCTCAAATGCCTGCTGGATATCCATAAAATTTTCAGAGAGAACGACCCGGCCTACATACTGAACGACCTGTACATCTCTGACTACTGCATCTGGATCCAGAGGGTCAAGTAAGTTTGCGCTTGGCTTATAGATCCGGAGGGAATTCCCTTCAGAGCCGTGGGAAGTGCCACTCAGCTCCTACGAAACATCAGTGATTTAGATTGTGGGTCTAGCCGAATGATTTGTGTCTGCAGGGACAGTTCAAGAGTGCAAGCTAGTCAATCCAGTTTTCTCTGTTTTAGTTGGTTGCTGTACCTACAGTCAGAGCTGCAGTGGATGGATTTATAGCAACACGTTTCGAAGTTAATAAGCTAGATCTTAATCCATTTAAAAAGACTTGAAGATATATGTTCTCGGATTCCCTCCATCCAATCTTGAGGAGAAAAGTCGTCAAAACAGACAATCTGTAGATGTGCTAAATAAAAGACTTTACATTTTAAACTGCAGCAACGTGTGGTTCTACAGATTTGACTTGTGGGACAAAATCTAAATGCAACCATGCTTTTTATATTCTTATGAATTCTGAAAATTGTGCATTTATTTCCATTAACTGTGATGTACTTTTTGGTATCCCAGTGAATGGCATTGAATTTGTTGAGTTTTAATTTTCAGGGCTTTTAAACACTTTAGTTAGGTGGTGTTGTTCTAGAAGCCTAAAATCCAGAATCACCACTTGGCTCTCCAACAATCCAGGTTCAAAGGCTCTCCCTCTCCTCGTCCATATTTAAAAAGCACTTACACGTCTTGAAATTTAAGCCCGCAAGCACATTTCTCAGTAATGAGCTCCTTTTCACTCTTGGCCAAAGTTCAGCAGGGTGGTGTGCTCATCTGGAAAAAAGCCCAGTTGAAAAATGTGCTCCTGATGTTGTAGGCTCGGCGCCCAGATGCAGAGATGATAACAGCTCCCCGGGGATTTACTGCAGCCCCCCACCCCCACTGTTATCATTCCACCCCCCCATCAGACTTCGTCCAGTTAAAGTGTTGAGTTCTGCTCTGAAAATGTTTCAAACACTGGAATGTAAGAAATCAGCAGCAGGATTTGGGGTTGAAGGTTCATGTGCTCGAGGAAGGCTAATCTGGATTACTAGACTGTAAATTCATGTTTGTGAAAACGTCAGAGATTGCTGCCGTTTACCAGGCTTCATCCCCCTCTAAAAGGAACCATAGAAATTCCTGATGTTCAAGTCAAGAATCATTTTGGCACAACTACAATTGATTTACTAGTGTTGGATAGTTGCACATATAGATAATTATATGTTTATATTTATTTTTTGAAGATATGTTTTAACAGTTTTAACAAATAAGAACTATCCAATCTGATGGTAATGGTGAGATATGATCAAAGATGTCCACATTCAATTTAATGTGACTCTTAGGGATAATAATGTATGATGATGTGAATGTTTTTTGATTTCTTGTATTTGGTTTACTTAGCGTATTGACCTCTGTTTTCTCTTGACACCGCAATGAAATCTTGGTAAAAAATTTTCAAAAGACCCACCATCTCCATATTTAAAGTCGTAGGGAAATCATATTTAAATGTCAAATCGTTCTGGCTTAAACATGTATATAAATGTACTCTTTATCAGGCGATATTGTCCCAAAATTTGAAAAATTTCTATTTTAAAGAAAATCCTATCTTAAAATCTGTTTTTTTTTTTCTTCCGTTATTTAATGTAGGCCAGTTATTTATACGTCAGCTTGTACACCTAAATTTGGCCAATCAAATATCAAAGGTCATCTGTCAATCAAATTTTTTTGGTCATCTTGATTAATATGTCGCAACTAATATACGCAACGGTTGAAATAAGAAATAAGAATCATTAATTTTACCATTGAGTTCCGTCCCAGTGTTCAAAGGGATGGACATCTGTGTAATTGGCAGGCGTATAGCAAACAGAACTGGCAGCGTTGCGAGGCAAGGGCTCAAACAGACAAGAAACGGCTGCCGCCCTGGCGTCCTCTTCCACACATCTTCGTCCTCATTTTTTCTTCTAAATGAAAAATGTATGACGAAGGAGACTCATCCACAACCTCCGACAAAAATCTCTTCTCCTCTTGCATGTTACTGCTGCATAGCGTTCCTTGTCATTGTCATTGACATCGCGAACCAGTTTTGCTGGTATGCTTCTGCACAGTCTGTGTGGAATTTCTAGGGACGCACAGCAGTTTCCCGCCAAAGTGCAAAGGGGAGCCTATTTGAGAACTGACAAGAACTTCAGCAGATGGTTACGAGAACTTTGTTTTGCAATAGACCTTGGCATCTTTATATAATTTGTCTGAGGCATCGTACAAGTGGTTGTACTTACGAACCTCCTCGATTAACCTTTCGTCGTAGTTGTCCATTGTTTTTAGAAGTGGCGGGCCCTGGCACCGAATTGAGAAGGACGACCACACAGACTGCCGGAAAGTCATACCAAGGACCAATCATAGCTGCTTTTTGTCTGCGCACTTCCGCTTGAGGTTGGCGTGGGTTTGCAACCATCCGACGCGTAGTCAGGATTTTTTTTACAGAGACAGATTTGACGGTTGCAGAGGCTATGTGTCAGAAGCATAAATTGGCCTTTTGTCACCAATTTAGTGCTACTTTGTCCCAATGTAATTTCCCATTGGGAACCTACTGGCACTAAGTTGCTAACTCGTTAGCAAGATGTTTCCAAGACACCGGCCACAATCAAATTTGCTTGCAAACCTTCTGCCACAACAATCCCGCCCCCTTGAGTAACAACCAATCACATTCACTTTATTTACTCGTGTAAAGTCGTGTACCACTCGGGAGAATTCGGAAATGCAACGGTTGGAACAGCCGTTTCCCTACCACTTAAAAAAAAAAAAAAAAAAACACATGCACAACCCTGTACCTGAGAGGGAACACCTGTTAAACACATGTGAGAGCATGCACAAGCCCATTTCTCCTTGTGCAAGCTCTTTGTAATAGTTGCTGTTTGCATCATTAATACAAGCTTACTCTCCAAAAAAATATTTGCTATTTTTTCCGCTATGTCAGACTCCCCTCCGGTAAGTGAAAATTGGGACTAGCTCGTGGGACGGCCCTACATAAACATATCACCAGAATGATTGACAATTATGATGACCGCTTATTTTGATGATCCACTTAGAAAAAATTATATCTTGTCTGAATATCAACTTTTTTTCAATACAAATACCCTGGTTCCATTTTTCCAGGCAGATATAATCCACTCAGCTCTTGAGCTTGATTTATAACTTCAACTCATTTGTGAATGTTCATTTACAACCTCCTAATGACTCTAGCATATGCTTTATTCCTCTTCTTCACACAAACACCCACACACACCGCTCCTCTGAGCATACGGAGCAGCTGAAGCTCTGTCAGCTCACAGAAAAAGTCAATCAGTCTCTTATCTTCTGAGGGGCACCAACCGCAGCGCCGCTGCTCCTCCTCGCTCGTTCTCCTCACTGCACCCTGGAACTTAATGTCAGCTTGACATGCTGACTCCAGCTATGCTCCACATCGATTATTAAATGGATTAGCTCTTTCTCTGGCAGCACTATGCGCGGACTCTATTGTTACATCTCTGTTTGATAGAGACTGTTACAGGCTGTCATTGGGAGGGAAAAAAGATATCCTGGTTGAAGTGTTTCTATCACCTTCAGCCACTTGAGAGAGAAACTCGCCAAGCTTGACGGCCTCTTTCTCCTCCTTTAAGGTTGTGCGCTCTGGCTCACTCTCTAAAGAGATTTCCTACAATCTGCCAGCATGTAGAAATCTGCAGAGGAGTCTGACCTCTCTTGAGGTTTACAGCAGACTAACCTCCGCTTGCACTGTTTGTGTCGTCTGACAGGTTTGATGACATATCATGTCAGCCTTTTTTCCCTAGTGTGACATATTCCCCCAAGATTAGTCTTCCTCCATGCTTCATGGTGAGATGAGACGTAATGGATCCCCGGTCATATGACGCCTCTATCCTGTCATTGCCCACCGCCTACAAAGCAGAAGCGATCATCTGCGCCTGATGGACGTGCGATTAATGGATGTTTGCTGGCTGCGGGGGCGGCTTGATTTATCTAATCTCCTGCCGGTCCCACGGGCATTTCTCCTTCTAAAGTTCCACCGACTGCCAGGATGTCTGTCTCAGATTTACAGCCTTGTAAAGACTTCCTCGTGATTTAAGACCGCAGGGTGGGGGATCTTCCTTATTGTCGCATGGAGTGAGTGAGGGGAGTGGAGTGTGTGGCCTCTCAGCAAACGGTGCATCAGGCCAACACTTAGAGCTTAGAGATCCCTGCTCCAGAACTCGACTCCCTTCCTTTGTGGGGAAACTCCTTATACTTCTCCTTGCTAGCTTTGTTAGATCACAATTATAACTACATTACCTCAAGTCTCCAATTATAACTTCCTCTCCATCTCATTACTTCCAGCAAGTGATTTTGAAAGCTAAAGACACCTGCAGAGTTGCTGGATAGATCTTATCTTTTTTTTTTTACTCCCTTTATCCAGGATTGGAGTAATGCCAGCATATATTTTTACAGCAGCCAGAGATAAAAAGCTTGTAAGCCCAGGGTGGTGTTTACTGTGCCTTAGCTGAAACAGGTCAGTGGTCCTATCCCAAACACCCATGCACCTTTTTTAATTGGGGTGGTTTCAACCACCTAATGACTTGTTCATCCATTGGGCTCAAAAATAATTCATGAATTTCTGGCTTGGTAAAAGTATTCATACCTCCTTTGAACTGCCATGGAACCAAACTCCACACAGTAAGACTCTGCTTCCTCCATGTGTTGCCCTGTTGCGCAGTGTTTGCGCTGTATCCAGTTTTTTCCCCCACATAGTTTAGTAAAAATATCATCTTACCAGACCACCGGTTTCCCACATAGTTGTTTTGTCCCCTACATAGTTTCGGGCAAACGTACTTCTATGGAGCTAATCCAGGGACTGCTTGCATTGGCATCGAACAGGGGATTTGGCATTGTAAAATAAAACACTGAAAAAATAAATACTGAAAACTCAAACACTGAAATGTCGAACACTAAAAAAAATCAAGCATTGCCTCTAAAAATGGATAAAGATGTGATGAAACGGAAAGCT